CAAAACAGATAAAAGTGCAAGCAGACAATACAAAAAAAAAAAGCCTGAAAGAGAACAAACAGTATTTAGAAGTACTTTAACTAGTGGTGAATATCTGTAGCAGAAACATCAGTCAGAAAAGCAACTTCAATTTGGATAACAGGGCGGAAAGGAAATCCTGGAGGAATATAAAGGAAAAATCCCCTAGATTAAGGCTACTAGACACTGAAATGCATTCTCAGAGGAGAGGTGTCACTCGAGCCATTTAAGAGTGGACTAGACGAAGTCTTGGAAGAAAGTATTACATCAAATTTTATATATAGTAATGAATAATCTGTCACAGAAGCAAATGACCTTGAAAGGTCTTTTCCATCTGTAGTTTCTACGGTTCTATAAAATATGAGTAATGTTCCACTAAAGAACTTGGTATCTATGGCAATGCACTAACCCCACTCTATTTGTGTTAGCAAGCACAGCGCTGCTAGAAAAGGGCTTTTTTCTACTAAACAATGAGTGATATTTTGGGAATCACTGAAGATTGCCATCTAAAGCAAAGTTAGTTGAGAGACCACTGCAGGAAGTGGAATTCTGGCTCTGGACTCACAGGTACTTGATCTCCTGGTGGTCGAAATGAAGTGCATCTGAGTTCCTTAGGTTTTGGTTGGAAAAGGCATCTTGAGGCCAAGCCACACAGTAATAAAAAGTCCCTACTGTCAGAAATATCCATCTGCACTGGCAGGCTTTGGAAAGGAAACCACTAGCTCACATTCAGTTTGCAGCCAAGCCTAGGGGCAAGGCGATGGAGAGTAGAGCAGAAGCAATTAGAAGAATTGGATAACGAAGGGGACCATTCACAAACAAAGGTTGAGTGGAGAATCAATTGTCTTCCTCCTGAAAGTGCCTTATAAATCTCTCTTTTTGGACAATGAGATCTACTACTGTAAGGTATTTCCATTTATTTGCCTTTCTGACAGCCATTCCCTCTTTGTTTCTATGAAGTAAGGGCAGCCAGAGGGCTCACCTGCAACCCAGCCCACAGCAAGGGGCTTGGAGCTCAATGATCTTTAAGGTCTCCTTTAACCTCAGCCATTCTACCATTCTACCATGATTTTATGAAATTAACCACGTCTTTAACTTTCGGTCCAGATTGCTAATTGCTTTTTTCGTCCCGAGTCTTTGATTCCAAGTTTACATTTTATTTTCTTCTTTCATTTCCCTGATTTTAATTTCTATGCCATTTGCCTTGACACTGAGAAAAGGAGAATGGTTCACTTTGTACACGGCAACTAGAAGTTCAGACACCTCAATATGCAGCCCTTAACTTGCAGAAGTGAAACAGAGGTCTTTGATAGTATCTGCCCATCCACTCAGCATAAGATGGTGCCACCAGTACCCAGTAAGAACACGGCTGGCCAGCCCACATCTACCTGTTTAGAAACTATTCAGCTGAGAACGGGAGGGTTTCCACATCACCACCTTACATTCGTATAGCTAAAGAGAATGGAAAACTAGAAGTGCACTTCAGATTCAGAGGCCATGTGAGCAACAGGAGTACCACGTCTGTAGTTGAGACAAAAGATTTGTTCCTCGACTGCTATGAAGTTCTTTTTGACCAATTCTGCTTGCTCAAGCTGTGAAACACAGGAAAATCTTCTGACACCATTTAACCTTCACAAAGAACTCATTATTCATCAGGCTTTTCCTAGAAAAGCAAGAGAATGATTTTAATCCAAGGCCAAGCGTTAAATTCAACAGCTATTCTTTTTTTTTCCACAGTTCCCAAAGATCACAAATTCCATTCCACCATAGATCCTCATTCCTCATTCTGTGCGCTCCGTTTGGTGATACAGATTTCCCTGCTGGAGGTGATTCAGCATTAAGCAGAGGATATTTGAGGTGGCAGAGATTCCTCACAGCCATTCAATGTTCTGCCCAGCTGAAAAGACTCCATTTGCTGCCTTTTATCTGAATGTGTTCCTTCAACCTCATCTATTCCCATGGAACTGGTAAGATCAGAGTAATAACTATGGGTAGAACAATTTTTCAGCTGGATTCTTGGATTGTTCATTAGCATTACGTATTTTTTAAACACATGGTTTTTTAGTCCCACGAAAACCTCAATGTCAAAAAATAAAAAGTTATGGGTCGTCCAAATTCTGCTTGTGCACAGCTCACACTTTAGAGAGGAACAAGGACTCAAGGAACTGGAGAGCAGTAAGAAATCCTGCTTTGAGAATGCATCAAAACCACCCGAAAGGATGGACGAGGTTTCAGATTCCTCACTGAAGTGGATCTGAAACAAAACATCATTTTCAATCTGTTAAGTCCTTACAGTAGAAGGCTCTACCTTGAAATAACAGTTCTGCACACTGTATATGAGTTTATAAAACTCTGCCCTTGCATGGCCAAGCATCGCAATCTGATTCACTATTAATTACTTCTCTGTTAAAGCAAACCATTACCTCTGCAGATTTAATTCATGTATTTTTGTAGTACAGACAGAAAAGCAGAAACACAAACACACCGTGGCCACCGAAGCATTACACCTAAGCTATTAAAAGCAAAAGCCTCAGCATATGAAAATCGAGACATCTGACTCCTGAGGAAAATCAGTTTGAAACTAATATTGAAATACTGCCCTCCTAACAATCCCCAGTGCCTCCCAACAGCTCTGCAAACAGCACAGTCATCAGAGCAGGATGAATTGAGAGACCACGTTTGCTGCTGTTTGCTTACAGCAAAGGATGCCTGATGATTTGCTGCCACCTACATGCTGCTCCCTTCTGGGTTAATTAAAAATAAGGACTTCTAAAATAAAGGCATTTACTACAATTGTAACTGGTATGTATGCAAGCTGCACAGCATATTGCTAATTAAAGTAAGCACTGTTAACTATTAGTAGGTATTGCTAAGTACTATAACTGTACAACAAAATGCCTTTAGGGAACTCCTGCTGACATGAAACAGAATCCAGTAATGACACAGAGGAACATCACCAACCCAACACCACGGAAGCTTCTGCTCCCCTACAAAACAAGGAAGAAAACAGACCCTTTGCTTTTAATTATTTGCAATCATTATTCTCCCTTTGATGAGGAGGGATTCAGATATCTTGTGAGGTACACAAGTGAAGAGGAAGATGAACAGATTGCTCTTCACATCTGTCTTTGCACAGTTAAAGGCATGTGGTATGTTCACTGCCTAATGGGAACCTGCCTGCACAGAGATCAGCATTAAGTTTCAGAGCACATCTGAAAAGGTAACACGTGCTTTCATATAAAAAGTCAGTATTTTATCCCAGCTAATAGCAATTAGGTAATATCTGCAGTGAAACACTGATCTTCTAAGCCATCCTTAGAGGTACCTGAATTTGAAAGTAGATGCTCCCAGCTAAAGCGGTTCAAAACATAGGCAGAGACTGAATCTGTATCATCAGTCTCTAATTGACTTGACTACATTTTTTTTCATTTTATTCTAAAAAGAAACACCAAAAAAGGCAAGAGGGTATTTTTTCTTTTTTCTTTTTCCTTTTTTTTTCCTCTTGTTTATTCATTTCCATATCTGTGTTGGTGTGTTGGTCTGCCATTTTGGAGAGCTCTATGTTTGATGCCACCTTACTGACAAAATAGCGAAATTTCATCTATTAGAACCAAAACCAAAGATCCTCCAGATCTTATTGAGGACAAAGCTGAGGACTCTGGTACTCAGAGGTCTAATTTCATGTCTGTAGTTTAAGATCCAAAAACAAAGTCCCAAATCTGGCTTTTCAACACTGCCCCCCCTCCCACACACACTTCAGGCAGCAGCCAAGAATCAGAGTGTTGATGGAACAAGAAGCACAGTTTGATGCCCATCATTTCTTTCTGTTAAAACGTGTGAGTCAAAATGCTGTGGGATCTGGGTTTCTGCCCACTCTGCTTGTAAGCATACATTCAGTCCCATTCAGCTTGACTTTTGAAGGATGGCAGCATCTCGCTTTGGGCTTTTTGCTGGTTGGTTAGTTTGTTTGCTCCCTAAGGAGCCAAAGGATGCCTGCAGCCTGTATGCAACAGCAGCACGTTTTGCACAGAACCAAAAGAAATGAATAAGAAGAGCAAAATGGAAGGATTTGTCTGGCTTTATCTATCGGGAACAGGAATGGAATTTCAGATGCCTGCAAATGAACAAGCAAGGTTTAAACCTAAATAGATTTTCAGCATTTAGATTAGCACTTCTGTCGCTGGAGTCAGGGAGCAGTAACAGAGAATGGAAGAGGATCAAGATAAATGCATGCTCTTATATTGCATATGTTGATGCCTCAAAATGCTCAAAGAGCTCTGAAGCAGTGCAGGACTTTGCCAAAGGGACAGAAGCTTTGCAAGAGCCAGTCCTTACTTTGTAATGGTGTTTATTTGGAGCCTCACTTCCGCTCTCTGTTACTTCCACTTAACTTCAGGAGTGTCAGCACTCCTGCTGATTCCAGTGAGGTTTTTCAGGAGCCCAAAGCTCAGCATGAATTCAAACCCTTTGCTGGCTATAAATCATCTGGCAGGGCTGTCCCACTTTCGCCTTGAGAACGATTCAAATGGACTCTGCTTAGGAAATAGCTCCCTCTTCTGCTCTTGATGAGACCAAGTCCTCTGAAGGAATCTATTGCAAGCTATCAGAACAGCAATAGGGCACAGTACCGCAGTGGTAATTAACACTGTTTCTTAAGATGTAGATGATCTGTGCAGGTGGGAGCAAACCTCTTGTGTTACACATCTCAGGGTCTGAGTTTGAGCTGGTAGCCCTCAGCTCTCCTCACGTGCAGCAAAGAGAAACCAGCGGCGATGGGGTCTCTCCAGTGACAAGGAAAGGAGTCCTGACTGGTTTGGGATGTCAAAATTAGCAAGTTAACTCTGAAAATAATCTTCTCCCTTCCAGTATCTTCACCTCTTCCCTTTGATTCCCCTCAACAGAAACAGAATCTCGACCTCTTTTAGCCCTTCATCATATTTTCTTCTAACTTTTTAGTACCGCTTTCTTACACATATTCTTACCTGTGACCTGATAACCAGCTCTCACTTTTCTTGAGGGCCTTTTCTCTCTTCTCCCTTCCAGTCCCTGAATGTCTGTGCAGGGCACTGACTTTAAGGCTTTTCTCACCGCTGTCTGTACAAAAGCTTGGCAGTGATTTCCTTTCCTCCATCTTGGTCCTCCCTCTTTCGGACAGCAGTTTGATAAAAGAGTCACAGGTATCCTTGGAGATGCTCCTTAGCTTTTCAGAAGCTGAACTCCCATGCGAACTTGACAAAGTCCTTGAGGCAATCTCTGGGTTTACTTGTGCTGAGCATCCTTTATTGTCTTGGGAATCGACTTTTGGGGCACTCGGCTCATTTTCCTCGTGTTTTTCACCCTTGAGCAGTGCTGTGCTACTGATGCTGGTGGAGCGTTTTGACCTCCTTCTCTGCTGATCCTGCAAAGAAATGCCATTAAAGCCATACGTTAAGATTTGACTACCTTTGCATAAATGGAAAGCTAAAAAACAAAACTCTGTGAAGTAGCTAAGGGGCTAAATGATTTCTTTGTTATTAGGAATCAGGTTAAAGAGTAAATTAGGTAACTCTTTTGGATAATAAATAGGAGCAGATACACATTTTTACTTAAAATCTGAATGCTACTATGGATGCTGCATACTGTAAAAACTTTCTTTTACCCAGGGACATCAACAAAAAACCTCATAAAAACATTATTTGGGGTTGTATTCAGAGAAAGTCAAGACATATATGATATTTTACTGCCAAAACTGGCTGTTAAAGGTATCTAGTCCTTTTTTCCTGAACCAAAACTCTTTAGAAAAATGCAATTCATTTAGCTTCCAACATTTGCTTCAGTATTAGCTTCAGTATTAAAATACTTCAATTTCTCACTTTCATGAGCTTCATTGGACACAGGGGAAGCTCCTGTCTCTGGGAAAGAAGCGTGAAAGAAAAAAGAGAGAATATTTTTGGAATTGTGATTTAAAAACACCTACTGACGAAATAGATCTCGTTTGGTCAAGCTTAGAAACACTGTTTTACTGAAAGCAATTTTCAAAGTCCAAAGCTAATGATTAAACGTGGGGTAAAAAAAAAGCCTGAGGAAATCAGGTGCTCCCAATTGAGGAGCTGTAGACACTTCTGAGGTAAAGAAGCAATTTCCTGAGGAAAATGGAAAATCTCAGCTCTCAAGAGAGATATGATATCAAAAATGGAGAAGACTTAATAAAGAAATGCTGTAATGAAAGATGGCAGCTCTGCGTGCAGCGGCTGTTCCTCAAACAGCTTGAATTTCTGAATTAACCAGAAGCACTGCCCTAAATCAGCCCATCTTTTCATACTGCAGATTTAATGAATCAGCATGAAGAAGCAATGCTAATATTCTTCACAAATTACTTCATCTCAGAAGGTCACATTCAAAATCTCTGCTCATTCCCAGTACTTGGTCGTGTTCAAGAAGCTGCTAGATGTTGTGCTGAGGGACGTGGTTTAGTGGTGAAATGCTGGTGGCAGGCGGATGGTTGCACTGGATGATCTTGGAGGTCTTTTCCAATTGGTGATTCTATGGTTTATGATTTGGAAGGGTTAAAAATCACCTCTGGAGAACTTGCTCCTGGTCCAGCCATCGTGCCTCTGACAATGAGACCAGACCTGGGCCTCTGCTTGTCCTTCACTGTGGCTTGCAGCTCTTCAGAAATCACTGCTGATTTTAAATCCTCTTGACTACCCTTTAACTTCTTATCCCCATCAGAGGTTAAGTGGCTGTTGCATATCGTCCCCGCCTGGCATTTTTCACTTTTGTGTTGATGTTTTCTGAATTGAAGGATTTTATCAGGTGGATTCTCAACATCGTGTCTACAATAAAGAAACAACGTTATAAACAACGAAATGATGAATGATGAAATCAATGAAAACAGCACCTCGGCTAATTAAAGCACTCACTGCTTTCAAGCCACTTGTTACGTGGAAGTGGCACTCAAATACAATTACTTGGAATTGGAATATAGGTAGGTCTTCAAGAGATCATTTCAATATCATTATCATGCATGACAGTTCGTGACAATACCACTTTTGTCAAGTCAGATGGGTCTGGAGCTACCAAAACAGTTCCCACTCCTTTCCCATCCGCTTTGAACAGCCCTTAGAAAATTTGATCATGTTTTTGTCAGCATCTTTTGAACTGACTTCCTTCACTCTTCAGGGGAATGGCTTCAAGTTGCACTAGAGGAGGTTCTGGTTGGATATTAAGAACAATTCCTTCTCTGAACGAGTGGTCAGGCACTGGAATGGGCTCCGCAGGCAGGTGGGGAGTCACCGTCCCTAAGGGTCTTCAAGAAGTGTTTAGATGTGGTACTAAGGGACATGGTTTCGTGGGGAAATATTGGTGGATGATGGAGTGGATCTTCTTGGAGGTCTCTTCCAACTTTGGTGATTCTGTGACTCTGTGTTTCTGTGATAATCTGGGTAACCTGAAAATGCTGGCCTTCTTTTACAATCACTGCCCTTTAGCTTTTGTGTTTAACTCCAGGATGTTTTTCTCCATCGTATTTCATAGCTAAGCAATTCCATGAGCTGAAGCATCTTGTATCACATAAACATTCATTTCACCTAACCAGTTAAAACTGTTGGTTTTCTGTAGTTAGTTATGCCTTATACTGCAAAGACATCCTTCATATTTAAACAGAAGGGTGCAGGATCAGTCTCTGAGAGCATTAGGAAATCTGAGGACTGCTACTCCTTACCTAGGACCATTTGTCATTGCCAAAGGGCACAAAGTAGGTATCATTTTAACAGTTGTAGACATTAAAAAAAATATATTCTTGAGGTCATTTAAAAGGAAAGAGTTTGAAGCTGAACTCTTACATAAGGAATTTGTCTGATTATAATCTCCACTCCTGCTTGCCTTGTTAAAACTTAACCAGACAGTTATGATTAAAATTATCATAACTATTAACATTAAAATTAAAATTATTTTCAGGCTCTGGCTGTTTGACTGTGGTCTGATTTCTCCATGGCCAGAGGGATGGAAACAGCTTAGGGGATCACAGAACCCTGCTTCTGCCACACTATTTCTCCTCCTGATTCTTTTTGTAGGTAGAGGAAAAGACATGACCAGAAAGGCATAAAGTAGTAAATAGCAGGGACTCCCCTCATGAGCACCAGCCCCACACGCCATGATGGCAGCAGCCCTTCCTCACATACATGTGCTGTCCCCCCGCCCCTCACTCATTTGTGTTACATTTGCACATGCAGCTTTTCATGTGTTTATCTGTAAGTATACAGCACGCATCTTTTTGGGGAAAAGTGCCAGTGTGGGGCTGTGTGCGATTAACTCAAATACCGCAACACCAACAGTTCCCACCCAAAGGGAAACCACTGGAGGACTAAAACCATAAAGTGTTCTCCAACAAAAGGCAGAGCGGCCCCTCAACACATCACTTCCGGAACAGTGAAGGCCTCTCTGGCCCGGCCGCAGCGCGCTCTCTGTGGTCTCTCCCTCCCACTCTGGCCTTACGGGCAGGGCTGGCAATGCGCATGCGCCCTCAGGGCTGTCAGTAGCTGTGAGGGGCGGGGAGTTCCGCCATTTTGTTGGGGGTGGGAAGAGCTGCGTTGCTGCTATTCGATATAAGAGAGACGTGTTAGGGGCGTCCTAGAAAGCAATAGAAAAAGGGACAAAGGATCTGTCTGGGCACCTTCCTGCACTGCACATTGTAGGGAACCTGCTTTGGGGTGGTTGGACTCGATGATCTCCACAGGTGCCTTCCAGCCCCTGCAGCATCTGCTCGGTTCTTAGCTGGTTGTGTCAGTTCCTGTTTCCCTTCCCCACTGAGCAAGGACTTGTGGAGTTCTGCAAGTGCTAACGCTTAGGAGCAGTGGGTTTGAGCTGCTTTTACAACGAGGAATAAAATTAGGGGTATTCCCTGAGAGTCAAAGCTGGGAAGTTGAATTTCTGTTGTGTCCATTTTAAAGGCTTTCTGTTGAAGCACAGCTGGTGCTGTTGCTTTGGGATGCTAATAAATGGCACTGGAAGACTTAGCTGCATGCTGCTTCCATATGCCTTTGTTGATGGAAATAATTTACACTATTGGCAGTAATGCTGAATGGAAGATGGTAGGGCTTGGTTTAGGCTCCAAGCATTGATGTATCTGTGGTTTGAGCGCAGGTGGTTCGTTTCTTATCAGACTATACTGAATACTTTCCAGTTTACCAGGCATAAAAGCTCAGATTTGTTCATCTTAATTCCATCTTTCAGCCACTGAAGAACATGCAAGTCTTTCTAATTGCCAGGGAGCATAAAAGAGCATTTTTTAAGGAAGATAGCAGTAATGCAAACTTTGTGACAGCTCACCCAAGATGCTGTTGCTGAGGATGTTGTAGAATCACAGAATATCCTAAGCTGGAAGGGACCCGTAAGAGTCAGAGAATCACAGAATGGCCTGGGTTGCAAAGGAGCACGATGCTCATCCAGCTCCAACCCCTGCTGTGTGCAGGTCACCAACCAGCAGCCCAGGCTGCCCAGAGCCACATCCAGCCTGGCCTTGAATGCCTGCAGGGATGGGGCATCCACAGCCTCCTTGGGCAACCTGTGCCAGTGCCTCACCACCCTCTGGCTGAAAAACTTCCTCCTAATGTCTGACCAGAGGATTAAGAATCATTGAGTCCAATTCCTGCCTCTGCACAGGACCACCCCAAAATCAGACCATATAGACCATACAAACCATTCAACGCTATTTCACTTAATGGGTAGAAGACTGGCCAAAGCAAAGAGGAGTAAGGGAGTACCTGAAGGTTTGAGTTTTGCTGTCATGAGGCAGGCTGGCATTTCCACATGCACGTTCTTCATCTGAGAGGTCAGGTGGATGGGATGCTGAGCTTTTACTTTGAGATGCTGCCAGTGCAGAACTTGAACTCCTGGAGGTTCCACGGTGCTCAAGGAAATAATTAGTAATGATTTCAAGGAGTGTTTTCAGAGGGTTCTCCTTGGCCTGTTTGAGAAGGAAAATAAAGTTTTTGGTTGCTGCTGAAAACTTGTTAGTCTGCAATCTAAGAAGGAGTCATTATACTGTACAGTGGCTGAACATGTTAACAGTTTCCTAGAGTCTGGTGGTTATAAATGACATGGCTGCACAAACAACGCAGGAAGGAATCACAGAACCACAGAATCACTGAGGTTGGATTGGATGATCTTGGAGTTCTCTCTTGAGAGAAACCAGGACTTGAGGTTGGTTGGATGAGACCTCCAACATCATCCGCTCCAACCATCCACCTTCCACCAATATACCCACTAAACCACGTCCTTCAATACAACATCTGGACGTTCCTTAAACACCTCCAGGGACAGTGGCTCCACCTCCAGGGAAGGAGATGTCAGCTAGGAAATACCGAGAGCTTAAAGGTGTGTTAAGTGAAGTAATAAGGTGTGATTGTGAAGGAAGTCCTGGAACTCCTGGAGTTGGCAAGGATTCAATCCCTTGGACCTCATGAAATTCATGGCTCTGCTGCGAGTTTGCACATGCAGTGTATTCATCAAACACAAGTTGCTGGAGTCAATTGCATCATCCTGCAGGCTGTTGGCTAGACATTCCTGCCTTAAGCTGTGAATGGTTAGGATTGGATCTAAGCAATAATTGGAATTCAGCTACTGATGGCTTTGACATAAAATATTGTGGCCTGTATTACATGTCGAGGAATGATAAATGCTGAGTGCAGTTCTGTCTGTCAGCTCATACATAAAGTTGTAAATAGAAATGGAAATGCAGAGCTATTTCCAAAATGGAATGTTCTAGATGTAATGATGTAAAAGATGTTGAAGTGAATAAGTGCTCCTGGTTTATTGGAAGCTGCATTTAGTAACAAGGGCTCACTGCCAGGTTCTCATCTTAGTCCTGTGAGCTGTAATGCAGTCTCACCATGGAGGTGAGATGGAGACTTCTAAGCGTGTCCACAGCAGTGCAGCACCAGACCCAGGCTCCAGTTCTCTGCACTGTGCACACACACTGCTGCCTCGATCTGTTTCACCCAGTTCTACGTGATCTGAGACCAGGCTGTGAGGAGAAGCACCTCTTCCTTTACCTTGTTCTGTTTGTACAGGGAGTGCAAATGCAGGACGTTTCGAAGCTCGTTCCTGTTATTGATGCTGAGTGCAGAACGTGGCAGCTCCCGGTCCATGGTGCTGATGGTTTTCTTCAGACCCTGAGGACAAGCAGGAGATTTTAGAGTCACAGAATCATTAAAGGGCGTAAATCACCCCTAGGACACCAACCTATCCCTACCATGACTCTCAGTGCCACTTCCCCACGGTCACTGATAGTGCAGTCTGGATATGCTAGATTCCTAGTGCTTCCACTGGCACAGGCTGCCCAAGGAGGCTGTGGATGCCCCATCCCTGCAGGCATTCAAGGCCAGGCTGGATGTGGCTCTGGGCAGCCTGGGCTGCTGGTTGGTGACCTGCACACAGCAGGGGTTGGAGCTGGATGATGTTTAAGGTCCTTTTCAACCCAGGCCATTCTATGATTCCTGCTTGGATTTGGGAGGAGAAGGAAACAGAACAGCTAACAAAAGTTTTTAGTGCTGACTTTGTTGGATGCAAGCTGAAGCTTCTGGATACATTAAAATGGAAGTAATTACAAGCTGAGCCTTAAAACCTGCACTTTAATTATACAGTTTTGCATTTCTACAGCCCGGAGATGTAAAAGGAGTTCTGGTGGAAATGCTGCCTGTGCAGAATTTACCAAACTTGGGGGAACAAACAAAACAGGGCTACTCCGTGCAGCTGACTGCAGCTACTTAACAGCTCCATAAGATTGGCCTGTGCAATTAACTGCATCTGAGCTACTTAATTACAAACTCTGAATTTCAGATGCGCTTTATTTTTTGGCAGGTTTCTCAGAACCTTTATCTTGCTCTTCACCCTGTTATCAGGGTAACCTGACCAGGTTGAAAATCAGCTGGATCCTCATAGCATCAACTGGTTTAGGCTCTTCCTGCAGCTCGGTACAGAGAATGAGGCAGTGCTGCAATTAAAGTGCAAGGAATGATAAGTTGCACGGTCAGTTTTACCAGCAGAGCATCCCTTTCCTTTTATGCTTTCAGTCAGCATTACATTTATTTAAGTCAGAAATGTGAAGGTGTTTCATTTGAGGAACCTCTGCAGTCAGATACTGTGAGGCACTGCTCTGCTAATGCTGGAACTTAAAGGCAAGTGATTAATTCTGCGTTGGAAATCATGTCAGCAAGATTTCAACGCTGAAAATAGGCATTTAAAAGCTGGATGCAGGACAGGTGAGAGAAAGCGAGGTTGGCACGATGCTTCTTAGCACAACTGCGTCTTGTGTTCTGTATGAGGCAACTACTCCTGAGCTGGGGGGGACACGTGCAATATTTCCTTTGGATTCTGCATGAATACGAAGTAGGAGGCGATTTCACCTGGAAGCATGAAGGTGTCTTTTCCCCGGCTCACAGCCCATTTCTTTCCTTTACATCAGTTCTGTAACAAATACAGCGGTCACTTTCTTCTCCTTCCCCCCCCCGGGCAAATCCGCCTGCAGAGCCCCAGTAAAAGACGTCTGTTTTCTCTGTGACCACTTCACAGAATCACAGAATGCCCAGGGTTGGAAGGGACCTCAAGGATCATGAATCTCCAACCCCCCTGCCACATGCAGGGCCACCAACCTCCACGTTTAATGCTAAACCAGGCTGCCCAGGGCCCCATCAACTTGGCCTTGAACACCTCCAAGGATGGGGCATCCACAGCCTCCTGGGCAGCCTGTTCCAGTACCTCACCACTCTCTGGGTAAAGAATTTCCCCCTAATGTCCGATCTAAATCTCCCCTCCCTCAACTTAAAACCATTTCCCCTTGTCCTACACGTATCAACCCTTTCAAAGAGTTGATTCCCCTCCCCTCTGTAGGCTCCCTTCAGGTATTGATAGGCTGCAATGAGGTCACACCGCAGCCTTCTTTTCTCCAGGCTGAACAAGCCCAGCTCTCTCAGCCTGTCCTCATGGTGGAGATGCTCCAGTCCCCTGATCATCCTAGTGGCCCTCCTCTGGACCCTCTCCAACAGCTCCCTGTCTTTTTTGTACTGTGGGCTCCACACTTGGATGCAGTGCTGCAGATGGGGCCTCACAAGAGCAGAGTAGAGGGGGACGATCACCTCCCTGTCCCTGCTGGCCACCCCTCTGCTGATGGAGCCCAGGATCCCATTTGCCCTCCAAGCCGCAAGAGCACACTGCTGGCTCATATTAAGTTTTTCATCTATCAGGACCCCTTCCTTTTGTTTTGTTTTAGTATTAGTGTGCATCACTTGTAAAAAACAAGATAGGCGATGAACGAGGGGTGAAAAAAAAAAGCTTAAAACCGCATTTCTTGGCTTAAGCTTTTTTTTTTCCCGCAGGCACGTGTAGGAATGAATCAGGTTTTCGCAGGCAGGCCGGCAGCCGCCTTCCACGTTCGGAAACCGGCGGGCATTGTGGGAGATGTAGTGCAGATCCGAGCCCCCCAGCTCGCTGCTCCGCACTGCTATCTGCCTTACAGCCCCCCGCCGGGGTCCCCCCCCCCCCCCCCGCCCCTTCGCCTTTTAACGACGGGCGTTTCTCCTGCGCCCTTCCCGCTCATCCCAGCCAGAAAATCAAGACTCATTTACCTTTCTACTGAGAAATTCTCTCACCAGAGATGCGGCCACTTCTTCCACGAAGGAATTGTCCATTTTTAGCTCGCACTCTGCTCGGGGGGGGTTTCCTTGGCTCGGTCTGACCGATCCCCCATGGCAGCCCGGCCGGGCGATGCGGCCCTGGAGCAGCTCGTCCTGCGTGCCGCCGGATCCCAGCAACAGCAGAGCAGCAGAACTCCTCCCCGTGGGACGAGAGCCGAGCTGGCCGCTCAGCAGCGGGCGCCCTGGTAACTGCTTGTAAAACCCGAGAGCTGCTCGGGGATAACGTTCGGGAAATGAATGTTGGAAGTTGAGAAGCTGAATCACAGAATGACAGAATCACAGTCAATGAAGGATTTTCTGATTTGGGGTTGTTTTGGTTGTTTGTCTGTTTTTAAATCGTAGAATGGCTTGAGTTGGAGGGGAGCCACAGGGGTCACCGAGTCCAACTCCTAAGTTGCTGAGAGAAGCACAGTTATGTGCAAGCTATCACTCCTGAATGAATGCTACTTTCAATCGTGTTTGTTTATTTGGTAAGATTGCACTTTTGTTAAATACTGCTGCGTTTCTGTTGTATTATACTTCATCTCTCCTACTGGCAACGACTAAAATAGGAACACCCATCCATTCTATGGGCAACTGACCTGGTGCCTGCTTTAAGGGCTGGCAACCCTACCCACAGCACAGGGCTTGGAGCCAGGTGGTCTTTGAGATCCCTTCCGACCCAACTATTCTGAGATTCTATGAGTGCAGTCTTTCCTTTCAGGTTGAAGCTACATTATAGACACTACTACAGTGTACTAACAGGAGGGATTGTATTGAGTCATGCTTTGAGCCTGGGGACCTGATGTAGGTTGAGAGAGAGGAGAGGACCTGCAGAAGACATGGAGTGTGAGGATTAAATTAGATGAGATTGCTCAGGGTAGCAGTGTCCAGGGATGGAGATTTTGCATTCTGGACAAACTCTTTAAGTATTTGACCACTGTTAGCTGACCAGTTCATAGAAAGTTCATAGAATCACAGAATCATTACAGTTGGAAAAGACCTCTGAGATCATCCGGTCCAACTGACCACCTACCCCCAGTCCTACTCACTGAACCACGTCCCTAAATACCACATCTACCATTTCTTCAACACCTCCAGGGTTGGTGACCCCACCATTCCCTCTGGGCAGCCCATTCCAATGCCTGACTGCTCATTCAGAGAACTTTTTCCTAATAACCAACCTTGTTACCCAGTTAAAATTTCTTCCGCTGACAATTTGCCTGAGAATTCCCTCTTTCCCCCCTGTATTTCTTCCGTGATCAGTTTGGCTTCCATCTTGGGAGCATTTGGATAAATGAAGATTGACTTTCAGTGAAACATAATTTGCGTGTGCCTACAGGATAGCAGGGGGGGTAATTTGCAATCCATGTAATAAATAAGACATGCAAAGGGTCTGACTACTTCATTAATGTTATCAGTGCAAGCAGTCTGATGTGCATTCATTAGCTTAGCATTAGCTAAGACATGATGCAGCATGCAAAAGAATGCTTGGTATTACACAGTATCCCTGTCTCCCCCAACATTCTGGGAATGATATTCCAAAATGAAAGTGGGGCACGGTTTTAATAACATGGCCACTTGGAAGGTGTCATTTCAATGCATGTATTCCAGAGAGAACTGCTGCACGACTGTGCATCGTGGGGCACGTGAGAGGGGCTGTCATGCTGCCAAGCCTCCATTGACTTCCAGTGATTTCACAAAACCAGTTTGCTATGTCCAGGAGGCATTCAGGTGCTTAGCTTCGTGTCTGGTGTCAACAAAGTAGATTTATACAGCAGCATATTGATAAATGCCTTTGCTCCTCAAAGGAAGTGTTTTTCTCTAAGAGGTAGCAGAACTACAGCTTCTGACCTGGCCAGAATTGCAAAGGAATTTGCCAATCCCAAAATTGTTCAGGGGGAAAAAGAAATGAAAAATATTAAGATATTCTGCATCCCTGCTGACAGCTGTAACAAGAAGACAGCATTGCTTTTTGGAAGCTTTGTGCCTGATGCAGTGAAGGAAAAGCTGCATGTACACGTGTACATTAATGCTGGTTTATGTACTGCTTCTGCAGGCTAATGCTCTGCTCCTCTTTGGGATGCTGCAAGCACAGATGTGTGACGTGGGAGCTGCAGAACTTGGATCTGATACAGCTGGATTCTCCCTGATCAGAAATCACTGGTAATAATTCCCTGTGTTGTTTATTAGTGCAAGATGTGGTGTTTCTCCGGTATCTCCAGTACTGACAGGTGAGAAAATAGGTGACACTGGGACCAAGAACTTGGAAAGCCCTCAGCAGAACAGGGGGAGAAAATATGCTGAAAAAGATAAAGACAGGGAGATCACTTACCGAGTGCCATCGCTGATAAATCAGGCTTGGCTAGAGGGACATTAAAGTAAAGGGGAGTTGTAAGAAAGCAGGGGACTGACCCTTTAACAGGGTCTGTTGTGATAGGACAAGGAGAAATGGTTTCAAACGAAAGAAGGGGAGATTTGGATATTGGGAAGGAGTTTATATTGAGGGTGGTGAGGCACTGCACAGGTTGCCCAGAGAGGTGGTGGTGCCCCATCCCTGCAGACACCCACGGTCAGGGGATGAGCTGTGAGCACTGATGGAGCTGTGGGTGTCCCTGTGCACTGCGGGGAATGGGACCAGGTGGCCTTTAAAGGTCCCTTCCAACAATTCTCTGATTAATTTCATGTATTGCCAATGTTGGAAATAATCCAAGTCATTTTGTCAGGATGGTATCTCTGATAAAAGCAGAATTTATTCGCGATTGCAATGGCGGGCGTCCCGCAAGCAGGAGCACCTATGGACACAACATGACAGCCTTTAGACCATTTTCTTCCCCCCCTTTGCCTTCTCCCCCTCCCCTGTTTCCCCTCTGGCTGGGTATTCCAGGTTCACAATCTTATCAGAAGGTTTACATTTGTTGTTTACTTGTTCATCTGTTTGTTATCTGGTGTCAGTCCTGTTGTCTCCAAGATGTCTCCTTGATCATACTGATATGGTGATTCTGTTCAGAGTCCTTGTTTAACAAAGAGTATGGAAGAGAGGTGCCCAATTTTACCTTCTTCAGGCACTCCCGAGGCATGTAATGAATTGTCCTTTTAAATTACACAGGATACTGTTGCAGTGTGTGTGAATATTCTCAATACTGGCTATACATAAGTTGTTACTAGCTTATATATATATTCATACATATTACTTATATACCAAATATGTGTTGTTGGGGAAGATTTATCTAGGGCATTACCAATGAAATTTTATCAGAGAACCCCCAGTAATGCAGAAAGGCCCCTGAAAAGAACTATTAGTTCTAATAAATGACCCAAATAGTAGAGAGGCCATGAAATTAACAAAATTCTTATTTTGCTTCTGATGCAGAAACAACATTCAGTTCTCACACCAATTAAAAAAAAATAAATAAATAGAGCAGGATGGTGAGAAGCAAAAACCAGCACAGCTTCTCCCTGTTCTTCCTTATTCCTGGGCTCCACTTCAGTCTCATTTGTGGCTCTTCTGCCTCCTCCCCACCAGGCGGCACAGTGGGAATGGCAGATGAGTGGTCATGTCAGCTCATAGCAGCCTCTGCTGCTCCTTCCTCTTCATAGATTGAAGTTCAATGGAATTTCTGCAGGTCAGTTTGGCCAACCCACCTGCTTGAGCAGCAGGATGCAGTATGGATGTGTGATCCTCCACGGGCATCAAAGAATTCCTGAATCCTATCACAGTGCTGCTACCAGCATTGAGCAGATGAGAGGAAGAGACAGCAGGAGGAGGAGCTCTGGGTGTCAGAGCGGTGGGACGCTGGGTGTAGGGAGGTAGAAGGGAATGTGCAAACCCAGTGCAGTGCTTGAGGCAGGAATTGATAGGCGGGAGCGTTTTGCAACACAGACTTTGGAAAAGCCTGGTGCAGGGTAGGAAAGCTGCAAGACAGGAATGAGTAGTGCAGTGCTGGTAAGCATATTCAAAAGTAGCTTTTAAACAGGTATTGGTGGAACAAGCACTGCAGGGAGAGCTGTAGAGTATAGGGGAACTTGTTGGAGAGAACTGTGTATGTTTGGTGGCCCTGCTGGGCAGGGGGGTTGGAACTACATGATCCTTGAGGTCCCTTCCAACCCGGGTGATTCTGTGATTCTGTGAACTGGGCTTGCAGAAGGTGCCTATTTCCACAGCAAATGAACAGTCATCAGGAACTTGAAAAAGGCAGGAGGGGGAAAGAGTTTGAGTATTTCTTTGAGTAGGAATAGCTGGAGCACAGGCCTTAAGAGCTTGTACTTTTAAAGGGTGAAACGTCCAACAGTGCTTCGGAAGGGTTGCTGTTACGCGTGTGCATAGCGACAGCACTGTTAACCTGCGATCAGCTTTCGATTCTCTGTTTACTGATGAGAGAGAGAACAGCTCTGTTCTTTCCCCGTACTACAGTGGACGTGCCAGGGGTGCCCTCTCGCGATTATCGTTCAGTATTGCAGCAGTGGGAGAAGCGCTCGAGCTCAGCTGCTGGCATTGGCGTGGAGAGCAGACCTCGACACCATAAAATCCTCGGAGTTGGAAGGGGACCTTTAAAGGCCATCGAGTCCAGCTGCCTTGCAGTGAACACTGTACTGACCAGCGCCACTGTTGTGCACGAGTCTTTACAGCACAAGTGCAGTTTGATATTCAAGTACAAGACAAAAGATTTCTCAGAGTCTAGGAAGAAGTGCAGGGGATGTGGGGGGAGGGCCGAGGTGGAGCTGGTCAGGATAGATGTGGTAGAGGCAGTTCCCTACACCTCGTGGATGCATCTTAGATCCAAAATATCCACAGCAAGTTCCCATCAGCGGGCTTGTCAGCAGAGTCGAAGTGCCCCTGCTGGTCAGCAGTCAGAGCCTGATGGCTGCTCTCTTTATCAGTGAAAGCATTGGTTCCTAGAGCCAGCAGTGCCTGGGTTCTTCATGGAGCTGAAGCCACAGGGACACGCAGTTCAGTGACGCTGTAAAAACTGCCCTTCTCTCTCTGCAGTTGGTTATCTACTGCCACTTCTCCAGCCCCATGAATCCAGACTGCATTGCCTTGCTCAGACGTATCTGGGAAAGCACTGTTTCTACAGGGACAATCCAGACATTAGGAGTCCT